AAAAAAAAAAAAAAAAGAAAAAAGAAAGAAAGAAAGAAAGAAAGAAAGAAAGAAAGAAAGAAAGAAAGAAAGAAAGAAAGAAAGAAAGAGAAAAAAGAAGAAAAAAAGGCACTGGAAGATGGTTCACCAGATAAGAGTTCGTAGGGAAAGGAGTGGGCACTTATTACCAGATCACATGCCAAACTGTCCTGGCTGAAGGAACTCCTTTATTATGAGACTGATCTGACCCCTTCCCTTTGCAGCAAAGATCCCCTCATTTTGCTACAATGAAGTAGCCTACCTCAAAAGGTATGGTGACTTTAACCCAAGATTCTCGGGATCTAAGGCAGGAGGATCAGAAGACCAAAAGGCCTACCAACCAAGTTCCAGGCCAGGAAGGGCTACAGAAACAGGAGGGGGCAACACGCATGCATGCACGCACGCACGCGCACACACACACACACACACACACACACACACACACACACACACACACACACGCAGGCCAGGTGTGCAGTCTTTAATCCCAACACTGGAGCCAGAGGCAGAAGCACTTCTGGGAGGCCACTGTAGTCTGCATCTAAGTTCCAGCTAGCCAGGGTTACACAATGAGACATTGTCTCAAAAATAAAAGCAAGGCAAAAGTAACCTGTTTCTTTTTTCCTTTTTCTTTTTGGTTTTTCGAGACAAGTTTTCTCTGTGTAGTTTTGGTGTCTGTCCTGGGTCTCCTTCTGTAGACTAGGCTGGCCTCAAACTCAGAGATCCGCCTGGCTCTGCCTCCCAAGTTCTGGGATTAAAGGCGTGCGCCACCACGACATGGCATAACCTAAATTTTTAGTCATGGTTTCATCCTTGGAAAAAGAGCACAGGTCTAGTCTTGCATGGTGCCTCCATGAACACTACAGCTCCCCCAATCCTCCATTGCTCTTACACAGGATCAAACTGCCATAACAGCTGTCCTGCTTCCTGTCTACTTACAATGGGATTACTACTTTTGAGTATTTTCTCTTGGTGAATCTCATGCACCCAAACTCTGTAAATTAGGCTGGGCATGGTGGCACACAGCTTTTATCCCAGCACTCAGGAAGCCTAAGCAGATGGTATGAGTTCGAGAACAGCATGGTCTCCAAAGCAAGTTCCAGGACAGCCATGCTACAGAGAAACCCTGTCTTGAAAAACCAAAACAAACAAAAACCGAAATCCTGTAAACTAAATGACAGCCTGCTATGTTCAGGCATGCTAATACATCCCTGTATCTCAGTACTAAGAGGGTGAGGCACGAGGAACAGAAGTTCAAAGCCATCCTCTACTACACAAGAGCTACACAGATCCTGTCTCAAACAAAAGAAGGCTGCCGTGGTCATACATGTAGAAAGTCGCAGAGCCTGGCCAAAGCCTGAGTTTGTTTTATTTCACTACATAAAGCTCCAGGCTCAGTGAAAATTGGCAGACATGACGCTCACTCCTCCTAGAGTACACTGAAAGCATCCTAACCCCACAATCATTGTTTCCTTTTGTAAAAACAAATGAAAGCAAAATCCTAGCATTCATTAGTCTCAGGCTAAATTACGAACAATGGTAAGGCCAACCAAAAAGTACACCAGAAGACCCAGGCACCGACAATCCAATGCTCCCAGTGGGACCTGGCGCTTGCTCATCTTAGGCTGCCAGCCACATGACCTGGGCCACGAGGGACCCACGCCTGCCGCCACTCCAAAACTCACCAAGTCAAAGCAGAAAGGACCACTAGTCAGACACGTGAGGGGGGTGCCGGGGCCTCAAGCTTTAGAACGGTCAGCAGAGAGGCTGCGCAGACACCGGACGGACAGACCCCAGACCTTCCCTCCTTGACTCCTAAGCATGTCAAGGCCTACATTCTTGGAGAGTCGTCCCAACCCGGTCCGCGGACCAAACCCAGGACTCACAGCGCCTGTCGCTTTTGCAAATTTGCTGGCCACCTCCGAGAGTTGGTTATCACGCAGAAAGCCGAGCACGAGGGGATAAAGGTCGCTGGGAACCACGCGGCGCAAGCCGGTATCCGCCATGCTCCCGGTAAAACGCGTCACTACCGTCGCGCACGCTGCACGACTCAGGAACTCTGAAGCACCACCAGGGCAGGGGGCGGGTCCGCTGTCGTCATCACGTCGCGCGGCGCGCAGCGGAAGCGCGGGGCTGGACGAGGCGGCTCCCCCTCCGCGTCGGAGGCAGGATCCAGGCGACGTCTATAAACTCCTTCCGGTCCCAAGTGCGTCGCCATCCTGCCCAGGGCGGGGCCAGCCGACCGCCCATTATGAAGGCGGGGCTCTTGCGTCAGAGGTCACGCTCCCGCGGTGGCGGGAAAACTTGTGACTTCCCGTGTGTTGTCTTTGCTGAATGGATTTTTTTCCACAGTCGTTTTCCCAGCCCCGGCTGCTACTCAGATCCCACAATAACGAACGGACTGCAGTACTCGTCTCTCACCCCTGACAACGGCTTCTCTCCTACCGTTCACACCCAGGGGTACCACCCAGCCCCAGGCTCAAACCACGAGGATCCTTAAAAGTTGCTCATTGTGGTGACAATGGTGTTAATACCCCCAACTGCCTGCCAGTCATACTTAGGTTACAAGAAAACTAATTATCCCTCCCACACACAGTTCCATGGAGTGAGGGGACAGCTCTTTTAGGAGAAAAGGATCATGTATGAAACCTGAATCAAAAAGCAATACACTCTTATTAGTCACAAAAATATTTTCTCCCTAAATCAGGAGTCACACTGAATTCTGTCATAACTCTAGTATCAGCCATTTTTAGATTACAATAGTCATCTCTCAGGAAGGAATAAAGACCCATTTCCTGTGGACACCCTTTCACTTCCCTCAAAACAGGCACGCCTTTCTCCTAAAGAGAACTGTTATCTCCCTGTTTCCCAGAGGTGGTTCTATCCACATATGTGCATTAAAAAAAATAGTTTGTGGGGCGTGGTCACACAGGAGGCAGAGGCTGGTGTCTCTCTGTTGAGTTTGAGGCCAGCCTGGTCTACAGAGTGAGTTCCAGGACAGGCAGAGCTACACACAAAAACCCTGTCTCAAACAAACAAAAATGATTCAAGCCCACGCCGTAGGCTGTGACCAAGCTAATCTGGGGCTTCACTGAAACACTTAATGGACACAAGCCCCAGTTTAGAAAACCTTTATTTCCAACAAGAGTTTCTCATTAGGTGGCAAATGCCTTTAAACCCAGGGCTTGGGAGGCAAAGACAGGATCTCTTCATTCGAGGCCCGCTGAGTTTAACAGAGAAACCCTGTCTTAAAAGAGAGAGACCACTTCTCCCCAAATCTGAAATACTAAATCTCCATCCGGGAAGTCAGTCTGTTCTAAAAAGATCTCTAGCCACAAGCCAGGTAGCTCTCACCTGTATAGCTGCTCTAGGGAGTAGGCAGGGAAACTGAAGGTTTTAGTCCAGCCTGAGCCAGCTCTACCAAATGGAGAAGGGACTAGACATGAAAGACCCCCGAAGGCAGTCTTCCCTCTGGAGAGACCCTCGCCCAGAGATCACACGAGACCACAAGTCAGATGCAAACAGCAAGAGGCTTTATTCAGGAACACGGGTACCCGGGGCAACACAGTCCCTCAAGAAGCTCAAGAGACTGGCGCGCCCCCGGGCTGGAGCGGAGGGTTTTTATAGGGTCGGGCAG